TTTTCCAACCTAAACGATTCTATGATTCTATGATTCTTGTTGAGGTTTTTTTTGTCAATAAAGCTCCTGAATTTGCTTGGCAATTCTGACCCTGGGAAAGGGGATATAAGTGAGTTGCCATGGCTTTCTCTACTATGTGCCATCAAGTTTGCTCTGAAGCATCACTTGGCAGGCTCCCAGAGGCTCACTCTGAGACACAGAGAGGTGGGTCCCAAATGCTCCTGCCTGGCTGCTCCCCTGGAGAAAGGCAGTTCTTTCTGCCCAGAGCAGAAGTCTGGGAAAGAAGAGACTGAGATGGGAGCTGGCATCAGAGGAGAGAGATGATAGAGCCAGGGAAGGGGAGAGAAGCTGAAAATCCCCAAGGGACCCTGTGGAAAGGCTCTGACACAGTGATGTGCACTGGTTTCACTTCCCTGCTCTTTGCCTGCAGTGCAAGCTGGTGCTGAGACGCCCAATGAGAGGCTGGATGGAGCTCCTTCCCCTAATGGAGGTGCCAGGAGGGATGTTCTGGAGTCCATGTCACCTTTTGATCAATTAATCTACAAGTTTCAGGGTGGAAAAAAATGTAAATCCATGGAAACCTGCAAGAAAACAAAAACATTACACTTCCCCTCCTGATGGAGGGAAGACTCAAATTCATAAACAGCAGAAATGAACACAGAAAGTGCATGGTATTTGCCTCTCATATTTTCCTGTAAGATAGCCTTCTTCCTTTCTTATAGAAAAACCCAGAAAAATTGTATAGAGTATGGTGGTTATCCTTCTGTAAATAAACTATAAACTTCACATCATGCTTAATATCACCACTGGAATACAATGTGGCCAGGAGCTGTGCTGTGTGGTTTTAGAGTGAAACCCTTGAGCACAAGACCTCACCCCTGAGTCCAGGAGCACTGTCACACCCCTGGCTCTCCCTGTCTGGAATTACATGAAATGCAAACACATTTGGGGCAGGGCGATTTCAGCCAAACCTGCCTTCTGCAGAGACTCCTTTCACAATCCAATTTGTGGTTTTGGTGTGCTTGCAGGTTGGGGCCAAGCGGTGGCAGATGCCTTGACACTGCCCTCTTGGTGGAGAATCATCTCCTGTTCTTCCTTGTGAGTCCTCTGTGCTAGGTCCAGGGGAGGAAAGCAACCTCCCCGGGGAGCTTGGGAATCAGTTCCCAGCATGGTGCTCAGCAAGCCGCAGAGGCGGTGATCCACAGGCAGTGCCTCCGTGCCCACCCTCCCTTCCCTGCCAAAAAGAAAGGGAGCAGGCGCTGCCGGGGCCTGTGGCCCCTTGTTTCTTCCCTCTCCACCAGCCACCACCCGCACTTATCAGGAAGATCCCACATTTACACCTTGTGATGTGCAAGTCCTTCTGATGGCACTCGTAGCAGACCTCAGCAGCATGGGACTAATGAGGGGCAACACCAAGCTTTGCTGCTAGGAAAAAAAAGACAGCAGGGCTGCTTATTTCCAGCTCTGGCAACCAGTGCAGTAGGTGAGGCACAAAGTCGCGCTGCTGTCCTTCAGTGCGGGTTTGTTGCGATTAATCATTGACAGGCTCCTGGGAGGAAATGAAATGAGGGGACAATTCCTGCCTGGTTAGCTGGTCCCTGCCAACCCCGTCACCACAGCTCTGCTGATTGGCCTCTGAGGAGTGCTTTGAAAAAAGGCACAAAGTCTTCAACGGTCACCCTGGGCATGCCAACCACCCTCTGAGGGATGCAGGGAAAGGGGGTGATTTTTCCCAGGCAATTGCTCTGTCCCACAATGCTTTTACCCCTGCTTTGCTGGGCTGAAATCTGCCTGCTGCTGTTCTGTGAAGGCTGCCAGCTGGAGGACCCAGTGATGGGTGAGTGGAGCGCCCTTTCCCCGCACAAAGTTAAGTCCAGAGCAGTACCAGCTTATCTTGGCAAGCAGAGAAACCCAGATGCCATCCTGACTAAAAAATACTAAGTGGTAATTGGAACAGTATCTAGTAATCTGGGGGTTGGTCAGCAGCAAAATCGGGAAATGCAGGTCAGAGAGGGCACAGGGCAGGTTGTCTTTGCACCCAAGCTGTATATTCAGCCCATATGTTTCCTTTCTTTGTAAATGTTGCTAAGCTCCTCAGCACAAGGGATGGAGCAGGTTTGCATTTCCAATGCATATGTCTGGGCAGTGCACACTTCTGTTGGGAGAGGTTGGGGGAGGGGGATATCCCTGTGCAGCCATTTGCACTGCCTCCCAGCTGTGGGGTGTCCTGGGCTGCTCTGCCTCCCCCTGCACCCATGCAGGTGCCAGCGAGAGGGGAGCAGAGATGCTTTCAGGAGCAAGAGCTGCTTTTGCTGGGTGGTTGCTGTGTGTCAGGTCTGTAGAGGACACCTCTGAGCTCCTGGGGACAAAGGCAGGCTAAGAGTAATGCACTGGGAAGAAGCAAGCAGACGAGCAGGGCTCAAGTGTGCTGTGCTTGCTAAGGAGCCTGCCTGCCCTCTGTTCCCATGCCGCCTTCTTCCTCACCATGGGAAAGGTACAGCACAGGCTAATAATGTGATGGCCACCCATGAGACCAAGGTGTCTGCAGTCTCCCAGTGTGCCACACAGCCTTATGGTGGAGTTTCTTGCTCCAGTGCTCCGCAAGATGGGAACACTGTGACTGGATGCTTCAAGGCATTATAGCCTTCCCCAAGTGAATTGCTTTTCCTCTTGCTGTGATTTTGGGGTTTGCTTTGTTCCTAGGTTTGAAGGAAGCTGTGAAATCTGATAGAATTATTGCAGCAGCTCTTGGTGGAGAGGCAAATTTCTATTGCAACTTCTCGCTCTCGATGGATGTTTTGCAAGTCACCTGGCAGAAGAGAAATGGGTCTTCCTTCCAGAACATAGCCACCTACAGCCCAAACCATGGGCCGAGGCTGATAGGGTCATTTCAGAAGAAGGCACGTTTCATTAGAGCAAACCTGAAGGCCTCAGCTATCACACTCCACAATCTCACATTCGAGGATGAGTCCTATTACAGATGCATTTTCAACGTGTTTCCTCATGGCTCTTTCAGCAAAGATATATGCCTCAACATCCAAAGTAAGTTTTCCACTAACACCTCACTTTCTAGCGCTCAGCACATGTCTGATGTAGTCAGGAGATGGGTAACACATTAACCCCTCCACCACATGGATACTTTCCATGCACCAGCATCTCCTTGGTGGATAGTCTCCAGAATTGCCACACCTTTCCTCGGAGGAGGTGAAGGTAAATAAGCCAGGAGCTGTTTTCAGTTAAGAACTGCCATACAGAGAGGCAACCCTTCCAGTTTTGAGTGTAAACTTGCCACAGATTGTAAAAAGTACCTTCTTTTTTTGCTCTCAGCGATTTCTGAGCTAACAGTGGAATATGATTCCCACCTGCCCACCGAGGGTCTCCTCACTGCAGTTTGCTCAGCAACAGGAAAGCCTGCCCCCAAAATCAGCTGGCTGGACGACAGAGACCTGGATGAGTCCCCTGAAATACACCACGTCCAAAACGCAAATGGAACAGTAACAGTGGCAAACAGACTTACCGTCTCTGCCAACCACCTCCATGCCCTGGCCTGCCTCCTTGACCACCCACAGGGAAGGAAAATGAAGACAGTTTACTTGGAAAAAGGAAGGGAAGGTAGGCTATGTTTACATGGAGAGGTGCAGCATGTAGTGGGGAGCACTTAGGAAAGGATGTGCAATTGTGGGAGTGCGGCTTGTACTTACATAGGTCTCTCGACATTTTTCTGGGAGTTCAGTCCTCATGCCAGATGAAGATTTCATGATTTGAAACTGTCCAGAAGACTCCTCCCTGTGGTACCTTTGTGTCTGTGTGGTGGGTGTGTGCATCTAATAAATACGTAGATTTGTGTGTATGTATGTATATACGTCTCTATATGTTTATATTTCTACATAATCATGGCTTTAGAGCAGAAGCCATCAGCTCTCCAGCAGTATCCACAGCTGGAGGGTTCCAGCAGAGCAGGCCCCTGTCTGTCAAATTCTGGGGAACAACATTTCACATGGAAGACCCTGCAGGAGGGTATGTCTCAGGAAGGGTGGGAGACTTTCCTCATGATAAAACTTCTTCATGCAAAAAGTAAAACACAAATAGATCAGGAATAAAAATGCTGGGGTTTGGTTCCCCTAATGCCAGGGAAACGTGAAACATTACCAGTATTTATTTAAAAAAATAAAATAATTCCTCACCTACCACACTGTTATGTTGCTACACTGTTCCTTTCTCTTCTTCAATGTATAAATGAGCAAGAACTGATGAATGTTTCACTTCAGTCCCAACTTCTGTAAGAGGACACAAGAAACATGTTGACATCCCTCTATGTTCTGTGTGAACTTGCTGGTTTCTTTTTGTAGGTGTTCAGAAGAGCATAATCATCATGGCGGTCTTAATAGCTGTGGTGTTCTTAACAATCTTGATACATTGTGTCATGAAACTAATCAACAGAAAAACAAAAAAGTAAGAATAATTTCCATTTTCTTGCAAATGACATGGCTTGCCTGTGTTGACCTTGCAATTTGCCTTTCTGTTTCCTGTTGGTGTTTTTACATAACTGCCCTGGAAAATTATCCAGGTAGTAACAGCACCTTTAAAATAGCAAGATTAACTCTAAATGCCAGGATGTTTCCAAGCATTATGTGACTAGTTAATTTTTTTTTTTCAGACCGAAAAGACTTAGTGCACCCAGAACGCCTGCAAAGGAGGAAGGCTTACACCAAGACCTAAGCAAGAAAGGCATGAGCCTCCACACACCGAAGGACCAGCACGTTGTTTATCAAAATGAGGTAATGCAAATGCCTAAGGCTTCCTGTAATTATTCGCATCCTGTAGCCTTGGCAACAGTTTGACAAAACCTTTCCATTGAGAGCTGGGGTCTGCTCCTGCTGCTATGTCTTTGCTTCATGGGACAGCCACACTGGGGTAGGTGACACCATATGTGCCCCATCTAACCTCTAGCAATACTGGGGAAGGCTTGGAGCGTGAAGGAGAAAAGTTAGTCAATGGTTAGGTGGAAAAGCATGGAAGAGGTACTAGAAATGCCCAGGAGGGCAGATAGAACATCCCTTCTGGACAAAGGCAAGGGAGTGCTGCAGATCTCAGGCACTGTCACCAGCAGCCTCAACAGAAATTTCCGCAGAAAAGTCTGCCCTGCTCTGCTGGTCACACAGGTGTGAAGGTGCTTTGGAGGGCTGGTGGCATCCACAGAGGGAGCCAGCAAGTGATCGCAGCTGGGAGTCACCCCCACTAGCCACTTTCCTCTGACATCCCACAACTTCCCGGTTTTCCTTGCAAGCTCTTGCTAGTCCTGTGCTGTGAATGAGACCTCTTTTATCATAGAATCATAGAATCGTTTAGGTTGGAAAAGACCTTTAAGATCATCCAGTCCAACCATTTACCTAACATTACCAAGTCCACCACTAAACCAATTAAGGGGAGAGCAGCAATTTCATGTTTCCTGGCTTGGTGGCTGGATTATTTATAATGAAAGTAAAAACTAGGACTCATTAAGATTGGAAAGGACCTCTAAGATCATCAGTCCAATCATCAACCAAACACCACCGTGCCCACTAAACCATGTCCCAGAGTGCCACGTCTACCCGTTTTTTGAACACTTCCAGGGATGGTGACTCCACCACCTCTCTGGGCAGCCTGTTCCAATGCTTGACTACCCTTTCCATGAAGAAATTTCTCCTAATATCCAATCTAAACCTCTCCTGACACAGCTTGAGCCCATTTCCTCTCATCCTATCACTAGCTACTTGGGAGAAGAGACCAACACCCACCTCACTACAACCTCCTTTCAGGGAGTTGTAGAGAGCGATAAGGTCTCCCCTCAGCCTCCTCTTCTCCAGGCTAAACAACCCCAGTTCTCTCAGCCGCTCCTCATAAGACTTCTTGTCTTCTCATCACTTCTCTCTGCCAGATAATGTAGAGCTTTGTCGTGGTTACTACACCACTGTGCCGTGTCTTTTGCAGGAGCGGACACCAGACTCCTCACTTCACAAAAGGTGGAAGAGAAACCTGAGAGGTAAAATGAATTGCAGGTGCTTGTTTTCAGAGGAAGCAGAGAACCTGAACAGCAATGTCCATGGCATGTTTGAGAGGCGGCTTGCTAGGTTATGCATCAAGGAGACCGGCTGCACACCCATGAAGGAGGACAGAGAGACAACAGCAGGTGGGGAGTCCAAATAACAGCTCACCCCGGCTGCTCCCCAGCCCAACACAGGAAGGAGAGGCATCAACCCACTAAAGACCCACCTCCACAAGCACAGAGGAGCACATGGGCCCAAGGGCAGGTGTGGAGCCCAAACTAAGGATTCAGAGGAATGGGCACCCTGCCCAGGCCCCTCCCAGGGATGTCCCAGGAGATCCTCAGCCCCAGGGTCCAGGTGTGAAACCCATCCAGATGAGTCATCAATGGAGCACCTTTCAAACTGAGGGGGGTCATTGCCTAAAGGGGTATGGACACACAATGGGATGCAGGGGAAGAACATTTTGGGATTGCACAGGGCTTATTATGGGATGCTTAGGGGAGGAACCAAAGGTGAGAAAGGGAGGAATCAAGGGCCTTTGGGGATGAAAAAGCCTGTGAAAATGGAGGCATAAAGGGCTAAAAGAGTCTGGTTGCACCCATGCAGAAGGCTGGTCGATATGCTTGTCTGGCCATGCCCAGCGCATGGTCACCACGGTCTGTCCTGTCTTCTCATTAAACTCTATTTCTAACTCTTTTCCTGGGTGAGGGACTCCCTAACCAGTGTGCATGTGTATATAAAGGCCTGGTGCCAGCAGCTGGGCCAGGATCACAGGCCAGCGGGCGCATGTGCCTGGGTGCCAGCAACTGGGGACACCTGAGTGAGAGAAACCAAGTGCCAGCCACCAGCATGGACCAGGGTCAGAGCCTGTTTCCCCTGGTGCAGCACCTGGAGTGAGCACAGATGAGCATGTGAGTGCCAGCAAGGATCAAGCCAGACAAGCAGGTGAGTAGGTGACGTGTCCTTGCATGCCTTTTGACATTTCACAAATAATCAGGTGGGAGGATCTGTGCTGCGGAAGCAGCAAGACCCACAGAAACGTACCAAGATCGGTATGTCTTTAAGAGCTCGAGCTAGAAAGCTTCCCCTCCAGCTCGCTGTATTGTTACACGAGTTGTATAGGAAAATGTGAAGGAAATGTCCTTCCAGTGTATTTGCAAAGGCTTTTCGAACAGCTTGTCTCACTGTGCAGCCTCAGCACAGAGCGCTTTCTTTTATAATAGCAGAGTACCCTCTAGTGGGAGAGATCACGAATGAAAGTGAAAACGCCTCCAGTGAGTTTTGCATTAAAACAGTGACTCACAAGTGCTATTTTTCTCTCTTTGGACTTTCAAATAGTCTTTTGGTATCCAGCAACCCTATCCCAGGTGTCAAGAAATTACAACCACTGTATCCAAAGACATTCAGGAACAACACAATGAAATGACTTTATGAGGGTTGTCCTGTGGCAGGCACTGACTGTGGTTGCTGGAAGAGAAGGTATTGAAAGGGACTGACAGAAGGAACTGGGCATTTGTTTTCAATCCCGCCTTGCTTTCCTGGAGAAAGAGCTTTTGCAAATGACCAGGGACGGAAACGTGGAAATGTTCCCAAGTCTGGTCTTCAAGCTGCCAGGCTGGCCTGCGATAGATAAAAGAAGACGTGTTAGAGGAGAAGTGGGAATGGCAGGCATTCAGTAGTACCTGGGAAGGCATCTAGGTTGCCCAAATCCCTCTGACAAGTTCTGCCCAGGGTTGCCTCCTGGGAGAGCTGGATTTTCTGCAGCTGGGCTTCTTGGTCAACAGACCTTTAGAAAACAATCTCGGGCTCCTTGACCAAGGGACCTTTAGAAGTCAATCTCAAGTGATGTTTTAACCAAGAGTTGCTCAGCATTTAAAGGATAACTATTCCCTGCATTCTGAAAATCATGTGCTGATTCAGCTTGCCTTGAAGTTTGTCATGCTACATGCGTGTAGGTTACAATGGGGAGCTTCAACTTGGCATTTCTTGAATGAGAGTTTTCTGAAATTAAATGTTCGTGTTTTGTTTTTTTTTTTTTTCAGATAAATTATCTGTGGTTTTTTTCCATGGTAGTCATGGACATGTATGTGATCTTCAATTGTGGCTATGATTGGAAGCCATCAATATATGTGTATAAACACAAAAACAAAAGAAGGGTCGAGTGAGTTTAGGTACTGCTTTTCAACAAAAACTTTTCACAGGAAATGGAAACTGTAAAGAGAAATGTGCAGGCTCAGTCCAGTGAGACAGTGACCAGTGGTACTCCAGCTGAGTGGTTCAGAACCCGCTGAAGGAGGGGGAGAGGAATGGCCTCACCTCTGTACTTCTGGCAGCAAGTACATGATTTATCCTCAGTGCAAAAGTGTAGTTTTTCTAAGAGTAAAAAGTTAGCTTCAGCAATTGAGAAGGAAAAATTAAAATATGGCGAAATACACACCAAGGACTCAGAAAACAAATAGGCAGAAAAAGTCTCATTTTTTCCAGAATGTCTCACTTGAGGGCTTTTTCAAAACAGTCCAGTACTGGATTTCTACAGGGCAGATGACCTGTTTTTCACTACTATTCAGGTAGGAGTTTAGAAGTGCTCTTTGATTCTTCCTGATGAAACGGAATACATTGTTTCTTTCAGTCCTAGTAATTGTGGTGTTTTCTTTCAGAAGGAAAAACATTACCAGTTTTAGAAGCAGTACAAAACAAAAAGCTGAGACCAAAGCTGTCCTAAAGCCAGCCTCAATAACAAGAGCCAGATAACATGCCCAAGCTTGCTTTCTTTTTAGTGTGGCTGTCCTAAGAGCTGAAGGAGACTCTGTGGGACAGCAGAAACTAATATTAAAAAATCATAATGACTGTCTCACCTTTCTTTTACGAAATGTCCTTCTTTCCTGACTGTTAACCTGATTTCTCCCAGTTGCTCATCCCAAGGAAACTAGGATTTGCACTGTTTGGGGTGCAAGTCTACGTGTTAGTTTGTGTAATACGCAGCACGTTTGTGAGAGGGTCTGCACAACCAGTGGTAACCACAGCCCCTGGCTGCCAGGATGCTCAGCCCTCATGCAGAGAAAAGGCACATAAATGAAAATCCGTGAGATTGACACGAACAGTCATCAACACAAAAAGACCAACACGTTTCACTGGGAAACGAGAGAAGGGAAGAGAATGAGAGCTTAGGCATGGATATCTTACAAGTACCAAAGATGCACGGTTGCATGATGCCTGACAACCCCCACTCCTATTAAGTCCATCTAATACCAAACCTTCTTTTACACCAAAGTTTAAATTCCTGTGTCTTCCATTTTACACAGCCTACTCCAGCGGTGGAAAGCAAAGCAAAATGTATCCAGCCCTTTCTTGCACGTAAAGGGACACCAGAACTTTTCTGTGTCTTTATCCCCACCCACATGGTTAACTTTCTGTGCTGGGAAACGTGGTGCAGTTTGCACTGAAGAAATTGGCAGGATGTCAAACTGTAAACCATTTAGCATTTGCTTGCTTTTAAGTAAGTTTGAGAGAGAGAAAAGATGTAGTTTGTCCATGGTCACGTGGTTGAATCACTAGCAAAATGACAGCCGGTGGCAGATCCTCTGGACCAGGCTGGACCTCCTAGTTGAGCTCCTATTTTAGCATTCATGACTTGAGGAAGCATTGCTTGAATATGATGATTAAGGGGGATATGCTAGTTTATATGAGCAGAGTCAGAAGGGAGTTGAATCAGCAGAGCCTAACGGTTCTGATGTAAGCCTCCAGCAGGCAACATGCCCTGTAAAACTTAGTGGGTTTGGTTTTACTGGAATCTGTGTCATTGACTTCAGTCATCTTCTAACACTTTTTTCTTTCTCTGTTAAATCATGGCAACTTGTATCTGCTGTATCATATTCTTTTCCTTAAACCTGTACAAGTTTCACTGGTTACTGGCTCAAATGGTTCTGCTTAAAAGAGGTCATTAGTCCAGAAATCAAGGGAAGAACCAAGAACTGTATTAACAGCAGAGTGTGTCTGCCCAGAAGGCAAAGGAAAAAAAGAATAGACCTCATTTGTGACAGAATGGATTTCAGATTGCCTCTTCCACCAGCACGCAGGGTATTTTGCAAGTGAAGAAATAAAAGGAGAGGAACAAAGAACTCTCTGGATTTTAGGACAAGAGGTCTCTACTTCCTCTCTTTCTCACTAACTTCAAAGGCTTTGTCACACCAGAGAATCAGTGTCAGCTCGGCCACCACCAGCTCTGGAGAAGGTGATGTACAAAGAACTTTGCAAAACTTGCCAGAGATTGCTGAGCTGAGCCAGGTCCATGTAAAAAGAAACAATTGACAAGAGAGTACAGAATAGGGCAGAAAGGGATTCTTGAATATATGAATATATTCTATGAATATAAAAAGATTTTGAATTTTCTGCCATTGCTGCTCTGCCTGGAGTACTTTCCATTTGCCTCTGTCTGCCCTGAGGTTTCCTCTGGTCTTCATCTACTACATCATAACTATCCTTTCCTTGCTGAGCTCTAGTTTCCACCCTCTCTTCCAAAGAAGCAGCCCTCTTACTTTCCAGACCCTGCCATCATTTTCTTCTTTATTCTCTAAGTTTCCCCAACCCATTGAAGGAGCAGTAAAATTTGGATAAATATAGAAGTTTTCCACCTCAGTTACAGGGTGAGCTAATATAAAATATCACTCAAGTCCCCCAAATGTCCCCTTTATTTTCATGAAATAAGGGCAGGAAGATGTCCCTGGGACTTCCCTGCTTTTGTCACTTTGATGGCACAGGGCACTTCTGGATAAATTTGTTTAAACTGTGTAGTCTGCAGGTCTCTGGAGTTCCCTCTGAAATCCCCTCAACTATAGTGAAGGCAGGTGAGCACAGGTGACTTGCTAAACACATTTTTCTCATGAAAAAGAAAAACATGTGTGAAGGGTGTAGGTATGTCAGCCTCAAACAACAGGTAGTAGGTTAATTGCTGGAGGCCTGACCTGCTTTAGAGGGAACCCATTCTCTACTCTGAACAAAAAGGAGAAGGCTGGCAGAGGGAAATTTAAGTGATTCGAGACCTACCCGTTAGTCCTAGGAGATAGAAGAAAATGTTGAAAAAAGGTAGTGGCACAGCTTGAGCTTTGGTTTGTTAGTTGGCAGAGGAAGGGCTCCACTAAATCGAGCACGGTGGTGGAGAAGATGTCTCCAAGGACAGCTGTATCCAGTTGGAAGAGCCACTGCCCTGACCCCAGCCTCCAGCAACAGGTTAGATCTCATCTGGTGGGGGCGGTGAGGGCTTTCTT